CTCTCTGGAGGGGCCCAGTAGACCAGCGAATTTTTTTTTTCTTTATCCTGGGGGTTGAGACAAAAGCCCCACCTTTTCCTCTCTTGCATGTGTTTCCTGCAGAACTTCAAGGGTGGTGGGTGAGCAGCACAAGATGTGCTTGTTCCCCCTTAAATATGGTTTACTCTTGGGATTCAACAAAGTTTTTTTGTTTTTAAAAATTTTATTTATTGTTTTTTCCTGAAGGTACTAGGGATTGAACCTAGGACCTCATGCATGCTAAGCATGCACTCTGTCACCAAGCTATACTCTCCCCTCAACATAAGTCTTAATTATGAAGATAAAGGGTCACAGCACTTGATTTACACACACAACCTAATAACCAAGACTCGCCTCTCTCTCAGAGAAGTGCGAGAACCAATTCCAAATTGCCCTAATCTGCCCTGTGTTTCCTTGGCCCAAGGGAGGTGGACAGTTCATGTCCTTTGCCACTACAGGGTTCTTTCACGAGACCAGGCTCATGTCTGTGCCTCATAGCATCTAAATTTGGACACTCAGGGATGTACCCTGAAGCAGCAGCATGTTTAACACCCAGAGCAAGGCGGCAGGATGCCCAAAACTCAGTTCGGGTCCCCTCCATTACATTCTATCTTCTTTCCCAACACAGGGATTTAATGCACTCATCTGTGTCTGTCCATCTTTCTCTGCCTTCTGCTCAATTTTGCTGTGAACTGAAAACTACTTCTAAAAATAACATATTCAAAAAAACCTGAGGAACCCAAAGAGTTTTGTTTATGTGGGTTATATTTATTAATGTTTATCATATTTGAGATGAAAATTGAGGAATTTTAAAACATTTATTAGTTCACTTTAAGATAATAATGAGCCAACTATATGTTATATTTTTATAAAAAATAATCATTTTCCAAAAGAAAAAAATCAGTGAGAAAGGTGCTTTTTTTTTTTTAACATTTTTGCACATCTCTGGGCTTAAGAGAAGTTAGCTGGATTCTCCTACCTACTCCTGCATTCAGTCTGTTGCAGTATCACATGTCACACAGCTTCTGGAAAACATCACAGTGCACTCATGAAAGGAGAGTAAAAATGGAAAATGGTATCTTAGTATTATTATGAAGATAGATTTGCCCAGGCAGATCCCCTGAAAGGGTCTCAGAGAGCCCCAGGCAGTGGTGTGGTGGTAAGTGTTTAACAATTATGCTCTCCTTGGGGAAAAGCTCCAGTTTGCAAAATTTGCCGATTCTGTGCCTGAACATCCCTGAACGACGTAGAAGCCCATTGGCTGTAGGAATCCTGTGTCCCGGTTTGGAGCGAGTCTCTTGGGGAATCGCTGCTCCATCAGGCCACCAGGTGGGCCTACGTCTTGTCAGCCTTTGTGCCAGCAGGACCCAGCACGTGTGTGACCTTCACAGAGACCCTCCCTACCCTTGCTGCACAGCCAGCAGAGGACTGGACGCCCCGTCCACACTCTCCTTACCACTGTGTCTTGCCTGGCCCTAGTCAGCATGCTGAAGTCATCCACCACCCTCGTTCATTCTTCAATCTCTGGTCTTGTCAAATATTTGTTTTTACGTAATCAAGGTCTTATCTCATTAGACGTTAAAAAAAAGCACTTATATTCTGCTATACAATACTGACTTGAGATGTTTCAGGGCGGTGTTCTACAGAAACCAAGCAGAGAGGTCTCCCAGGGCAAGGTCTGCCCCCTTCCTCTGAAGCTGCTTTAGGCCTGTAACTCAGCTCTGAAAATGGAATCAATGCATAGTCTTCACTGACATTAGAGAGTCTTAATAATAGAACTACAAGAGTGAATGTTTCTTTGTCTAACAAATACATTTCTCTAAGTAATTCAACATTTCCAGCTGGTACTCTGTCATTCCCAGGCACTTATTTAGTGGAAATGAGTAACAGCTCCATTATATTAAAATCTTTCCCCTCTGGGAATAATAGCTTATGTAACAGGAACAACGAAAGCTTTCAGTTCTTATAAATAAGAAAAAAAATCATCAAAATTACCATCAGAGCTTGTATCTCTCCTTACTGCATTAAATAGTACCTTACTCCTGCCGTTGGTGGAATTACAATGGTCCTCCCACTGAAGAATTATTAACTCAAACCAAAAAACACAACAGAAAATCATATCCCATCTGCTCCCTAAGAACTCTCATTGAGTTTCTTTCCTAAAAATGCCACTTTTAAGCCTCATAAATTGATGCATTTTTCCTCAAGAATTTTCTAGAAATTCCAAAGAAAAGCTGTGAAGTCACGATTTAAATTATTTCCTTTCTTCCCCCCTCTCTTCATCCCTCCCTCCCTTCCTTCCTTTCTTTCT